AAAAATTAACATCAGACTATTTCTTCCCCCCACCTAGTCACGTAACTCAAATATATCATAAAAAGGAGTGTGCAGGCCAGGCACAGTGGCTCACACCTGTAATCCCTGCACTTTGGGAGGCCAAGGCAGGTGGATCACCTGAAGTCAGGAGTTCAAGACAGGCCTGACCAACATGATGAAACCCCATCTCTACTAAAAATACAAAAAATTAGCTGGGCATGGTGGTAGGCGCCTGTAATGCCAGCTACTTGGGAGGCCTGAGGCAGGAGAATCACTCAAACCCGGGAGGCAGAGGTTGCAGTGAGCTGAGATAGCGCCACTAAACTCCAACCTGGGCAACAAGAGAGAAACTCCGTCTCAAAAAAAAAAAGAGGAGTGTGCAACACATTCAGATGATTTCCTATAAACATACAGGCATGTTTTATAGCATAAGAAATTTTGGTAAATAATTGAAACATTTAATGTTAAGCAGATACAGTGATTACGGACCTTAACTTTAGCACTAAAACTAGGAGAAAACATAGTATTTCATGAACTGTTTTAAGTCCTGAGTGTTGAGATGATCCTTTTATCAAAACCAATTATTTTTAGATTTTAGGAGTATGAATTTTGGCAGAATGAAGGAGGGTCCAAAAGAGTTTCCTACCCAAACCAGGCAGTAAATCAAATAACAACAAAACAAAAAGAAATGGAAATTTCAAGTTCTAGCCCAAATGTCTGTGCAGCCATTCCTCAATCATAAACTAAAAAGCAAGGTTCACTACCAGTTTATAGTGCTAGCCTCTTGGCAAACTATCTGGGAATATCGATAGATGCCACTACTTAGATATAACCTGAAAAGGAAATGCACAGTGGTTTCCAGGGGATTTAAAATGAGAAAAATGGCAGGGCACAATGGCTCCTGCCTGTAATCCCAGAACTTTGGGAGACAAAGGGGGTGGATGACCTGAGGTCAGGAGTTCGAGATCAGCCTGGCCAACATGACAAAACCCCGTCTCTACTAAAAATACAAAAAATTAGCCAGGTGTGGTGGCACACATCTATAGTTCCAGCTACTCAGGAAGCTGAGGAGAATCCCTTGAATCCAGGAGGCGGAGGTTCCAGTGAGCCCAGATGGCACCACTGCACTCCAGCCCGGGCAACACAGCCAGACTGTCTCAAAAAAAATAAACACAGGCTGGGCACGGCAGCTTAAACCTCTAATCCCAGCACTTTGGGAGGCTGAGGTAGGCAGATCACTTGAGGCCAGGAGTTTGAGGCAGTCTGGCCAACATGGCAAAACCCTGTCTCTACTAAAATACAAAAATTGGCCAGGCATGGTGGCATGTGCCTGTAATCCCAGCTACTCGGGAGGCTAACGCAGGAGAATCGCTTGAACCAGGGAGTTGTGTTGCAAGTGAGTCAAGATCACATCACTGCACTCCAGCCTGGCAAAAGAGCAAGACTCCATCTTGGAGGGGGAAAAAAAAAAGAAATTCAGCCTATAATCAATGTATTAAACTTGAAGTATTATTCCAATCTAGGGTAATGAAAAGTTGGCTAAAAAGTAGATGACTTATTCCAGACAATAAATTAGATTCTCAGGTTACCCTTCCTCATCTACTCATCTAAGATTTATATTACCCAAGTTTTTTTTAAACGAAGACATTTAAGCTTTGGCTTACCTGAGAAAGAAAAATCAAATGCACTTAATATCATAGGTTAGGCCAAGATGCAGCTAAATGTCTACACCTGAACTGGCAGGCTCCCACATGCCCAAGCTCAAAAATCTGAATTACACAATGTTTTACAAGAACTACCTAGAATTATGCTTCTAAATGCTCCCACTCTCCCTGTTATAATGATTATGTAAGCAAACTACTTCAATAGCAGGAACCTATTAATAGTCCATTCCTCTACTTCCTTCCCTACTTTTCCTGATTAACTGGTTGTGTTTTGTGAAAACTTTTTTTCCAATCACTTGCTCAAGTGGTTTCTATATTTTCAATGTTGAAAATTTTACATAGGGAATCTACAAGTTTTATGTGACAATCAGATCCATATATGGGCATGCAATTATTCAGGACAACCAACTGTATTTCATACAGCATATGTTCATTACTCACATAAATGTCCCATAAACTTCTTGATCTTTTAGGGCATTTTCCAAGATATACTGCCAATTTTCCTTTTGTCTATTAATCTGGGGAGTTATATTAGTTACAGCTACGTAACTATGTCTTTGGGATCAGAGATAATAGAAAACAACTGCTGAATCAAACAAGTTTCTACATGCACAGGTCATATTAGTATTTTAATCCACATGCAACTTTACACTAAAAGATTACACTGCAAAACCTCCAACATTATTGATCTTCATCTGTCCTAAACAATACTTTAACTTTCACTCCACTTTATAAATCCTGTACTTCCCTTCAGTGAGAATCCAGAGGTATAAAGTTAGTTTCTACAGATGTAGGTGCAGCTCAAATCAAAAGTTTCCTGACTCAGCCAGACATGGTGGCTCACGCCTGTAATCCCAACACTTCTGGGAGGCTGAGGAGGATGGACTGCCTGAGCTCAAGAATTCAAGACTAGGCTGGGCAACATAATGAAACCCCCATATCTGTACAAAACATTAGCCAAGCATAGTGGTCCCAACTATGTGGGAGGCTGAGGCAGGCAGATCACCTGGTACACACAGGTTGCAGTGAGCCAAGATTGTACCACTGCACTCACTCTGTCACTCCAGCCTGGGTGACAGAGTGACATTATGTATCTAAAAAAAATAATTTCCTAACTCTAAAAGAGTTCTGATAATCTAAGAACCGATAAACTAGAGAAAACAAAGAGAGCCAGTCCTGCAGCACTGAATAAAGTTCAGGTGACTATATTTCACAGACCAAGTTCTTGTTCTGTCACCCCGGCTGGAGTGCAGTGGTTTTTCACAGTTATGATCATAGCTCACTGCAGCTTGAAACTCCTGGGCTCAAGAGATCTTCCCTCCTCTAGGTGAACTTATATTAGAACTTTCCCTATCACATATTTATCCATAGTTTTCTGGGGTGAAAATTCAGGATATTTAACACCATCAAGAATTCTTAAAGTCTGCACTGCTACATTCTTGGTAAGGAGGAGGACAATTATTTCTGCACATGTTACTGCTGGTAAAGTGTTACCAGTTATCATGTTTTCAGTATAATATGTTTGCTGACATTACAGAGATAGGAACCTTAATAGCCCAGCAATAACTGTTTTATAATACATTAATAGGTATTAAGAAAGTGAAGCCTCAGAACATGGGATTTCCTGACACAGGGCAGAGAAAGAACATAGGTATTAAGAAAGTGAATCTGGCCCGGTGTGGTGGCTCATGCCTGTAATCCCAGCACTTTGGGAGGCCAAGGCAGGCAGATCATGAGGTCAGGAGTTCGAGACCAGCCTGGCCAACATGGTGAAACCCTGTCTCTACTAAAAATACAAAAAACAGCCAGGCATGGTGGCACACGCCTGTAATCCCAGCTACTCCGGGGGCTGAGGTAGGAGAATCGCTTGAACCCGGGAGGCAGAGGTTGCAGTGAGCCGAAACTGCGCCACTGCACTCCAGCCTGGGCAACAGAGCAAGACATCTCAAAAAAAAAAAAAAAAAGTGCATCTTCGGCCGGCTGTGGTGGCTCACACCTGTTATCCCAGCACTTTGGGAGGCTGAGGCGGGAGAAATCACCTGAGGTCAGGAAGGAGTCCAAGACCAGCTTGGCCAACATGAAACCCCATCTCCACTAAAAAAAATAGAAAAACTAGCTGGGTGCGGTGGTGCACACCGCTAATTCCAGCTACTCCGGAGGCTGAGACAGGAGAGAACCCGGTTCACTGAGGTTGCAGTGAGCCGAGACTGCGACACTACACTCCAGCCAGGGCGACAGAGGGAGAGTCTGTCTTGAAAACAAAAAATAAAGTGAATTCTCAGGAAACGGGATATATTGGTAAAAGGCAGAGAAAGATTAAGTATACTACACCCTTCGATCAGATATGTAAATAGTCAATTACTCACGGGCCTTGCCTGTGGACTCAAGTACGGTTCGAAATCATCATCATTTAATCCATCCTTTTGATGTACAGATCCATTTTGTACTAAAGAAAAGAAATCCAAATTAAGAGTGTCCCAATCCTACAATCTTCCTCCCAAATTAGTTCATATTTCTCTGCCTTTTCTCTGCTAACCAGAGAAAAACCTTACTAGTGAACAGAACATATAAGATTGAACTTCAAAAGAGTAACAGATGAGAATGAATGCTGAAGCAATAGTCGCCAGTGAAAATGCCCCCCTCCACCCAGAGCAAGCTGATCCAAAAAGGTCATTTTATTGGCTCCTCTGGATTTCCATTCCCTCCTGCTTCCCCTCCCCCATCACATGAGCGTACTTCCAGAGAGTGATCCACGAGGATGAAAAACAAAGGCCTTCTAAGACCTACAGGAAACTAAGGACCTGGAGCGTTTCAAAACCCAATCCACCCCCACCCTTAATGAATTACTCCTTGTTAGCGAAAAAGCTGTTCGCCAGCTGCGAGAACACACCGAAAGGGTCAAAGACTTAAGTGTGCGGCACCTGCGAACTAAGCGGCTTCCGAAAGGTCCTCCGCCCGGGGCGCTTCCCGGAGACCCCGCCCCCACCGCCCCGCGTCCCCCTCCCGGCCCAGGGCCACCGGCGGAGCGGCGCTTACCTTTGTTTCCTTGACCTTTTGGTCTCTGCAGGGGAAGGAAACGTCGCCAAGCAGCAAGTTGTCCCAAGGAGAAATAGAAAAGGAAGAACAAATTAAGGCAGGGCCCGAGAAGGGAATAAAGGAGCAGGCCCGAGGGGAGGCGTCAGGAATGGTGGTGAGGAAGAGGCTGAAAACGGGAGGCGGGGGAAAGCGCCAAGCCCGCGGGGCCGGGGAGAAAACGAGGCGGAGGCGCCAGCGGCAACGCGAAGTACCCAGGGCTCTAAGGAAGGGGAAGGAAACAAGGAAGGAAAACGAGGCCCGCTCAGAGAAGGGAACGCGGCGCTGCCCGGGCCGTGGGCTCCGAGGCCCAGGGAGAAGCGGGAAGAGCAGGTTGAGGGCGAGGCGCCGGGCGCGGCCGGTCTGAGAGGCCCGAAACCCGGCCCGCGAGAGGCGCCGCCTCGGCTCGGCCTGCCCGGGGGCGGCGGGCCCGGGCCTAGTCGGGCTCCTTCCCTCCTCACACAATGGCCGAGGCATGCGGGCCGGGCCTGTACCTGCTCCAAAAGGCTGCTGGCCGACATGGCTCTCGGATCCTTGTGGGCGGCGAAGGCGGCGAACTCTCCTCAGCGCGGCGGCGGCGGCAGATGAGCCCCGGCTGCGGGAGCAGGCGGCGGCTTTTGTCCCTGACACTCGGGGGCCTCGGCGGACGCAGCGGAGACACAGCGCGCGGCTCAGGCTCCGGCTCCGACTCGGCGACGCTCTAGCCCAAGAGCTCAACGCCCGTCTCTATGTTTTCACGCGCGCGCCCGCCCCTCACAGCCGAAAGCAGGGAGCCGAACAGCGGAGGCGGGCGGCGCGAGCGCTGACTCTCACATTCACTCACCCACGCGGAAGGGGCCCGGCGCGAAGCACCTCGGGAAGGGAGAGGCCGGCCGCGGCGCCCTCTGGCGGACTGGAGGAGCGGAAGCTGCACGCACGGCCTCCCCGCCCCCACCGCCCCAGGATTAAGGCCTAGGGGGTTGGGGGCGATCAGGCTTGAACACGAGGTTTTGACTCACACCTGTAAAGAGTAGCTTTGGCTTCCGAAAACGACAAAAGCCGGTTTCTCAGTGAGGGAGGGGCCTCCGGAGCCTGCGAGACCTTAAAAGGAACCTGCCACCCAGCTGCAAGTGATACCCCACCCCCATCTGGGAGGTAACCCGATCCCGGGTGCGGGGGGGGAGATCTCACAGTCCCCAGGGAAACTTCATGGGGCCCCTGTCCGGGAGTGACCAGCCCAAGGGGCTTGGTCATCCTCCTCTGTTAGCCGACTACAAAAAGAGTACCCAAACACCCCCCCGAAAGAATCCGGTCGTCCGCAAAAAAGATTCGCCCCTTAGCATTGCAGGAAGGAGAATCTACAATTTCTTTTCGGGGAATTCGCTGGCCTCCAAGATAATCTGTTAAACTGTGGACTTTATTTCCAAGAAAAATACACCTCACGCATCTACACAAAACTTTCAAGGAGTCCAGAGAATGTATGAATCTAAAGGACCTCAAGAGGGAAGAAAGGAAATTAACATTACTGAAATACCTGCTGTGGGCCAGGCTTTGTTGTTAGGTATTTTCAAACACATTAAAGTCTTTAGACAACTTCAAAATCGTTATCAGTTTTTCGGTTTTTTACGACTGGAAAAACAGAAAGGTTAGGTAATGTGCCCAAATTTACAAAGCTATTAAATAGCCAGGTGTATCTGACACTAAGAGAAACATAATGGTATCTCTCTACCCCCACGAGAGAAACCCTGTATTCGGGAACCAGAATCTAGGGGAGATCCAAAGGATGGGCAAAAGCATTTCAATGAGAAACAAAGCCAACTCATACAGGAATATTTGATACTAGGAAAGCCATCTAATAGCTTTTGTTACTGCAAGTACGTCGCGGTAAACAGGTAACTAATGCACTAATTGTCAACCTCATGCTATCCACACACTGGATACAGGAGGCTTGGATGAACTCAGTAGTAAAATAACATGGCATCTTGTATTTAACATCATAACTTTGCTCAAAATGCTCAAAACATTTTTCCCTGTCCATAATCACATTTATGGTAGGAATGAAAAAGATCAGGCACCAAAGGTGAAGGACTTTTAATGGATACAGTAAAATGTTAAATCTCAGAACATAGAATCTACCAAGGAAATAGAAGAAACCTAGTAATTACTTGTTTTTAAAGATAATCAGCCACGGCCAGGCCAGTGGTTTCATGCCTGTAATTCCAGCACTTTGGGAGGCCTAGGCGGGTGGATCAGGAGGTCAGGAGATCAAGACCATCCTGGCCAACATGGTGAAACCTGTAGTCCCAGCTACTCAGGAGGCTGAGGCAGGACAATCACTTGAACATGGGAGGCGGTGGTTGCAGTGAGCCAAGATTACACCACTGCATTCCAGCCTGGGGGACAGAGCAAGACTCCGTCTCAAAAAAAAAAAGGATAATCAGCCACTTAGCCCCATGGCCCAGATTTATATATAAACTGTACGCAGCTGCCTATACTTACCCTTGGAACCAGCATGACATTGTAAAAACAGCATTAAACAAGAAGTCACATGCAGGGGGACAAAGGGTCTAAATACTGGTTTCCCTACCCAGATGTACAATATTGGGTAAATGACTAAACCTTTCTCAGATTTCCTCATTTGATAAAGGGGATGATGATACCAACCCAACAGGTTTGTTGTGAAGATAAAGTTGGGAAAAAAGGGGCGCTGGGTGCAGTGGGTCACGCCTGTAATCCCAGCACTTTGGGAGGCCAAGGTGGGCAGATCACCTGAGGTCAGGAGTTCGAGACCAGCCTGACCAACATGGTGAAACCCCATCTCTACTAAAAATACAAAAATTAGGCCGGGCACGGTGGCTCAAGCCTGTAATCCCAGCACTTTGGGAGGCCGAGGCGGGTGGATCACGAGGTCAAGAGATCGAGACCATCCTGGTCAACATGGTGAA